TCCTTTCTGTAAGGAAGAAATTATTACTGCACCAGCTGCCGAAAAGATTTTTTTTTAATTATTTATTTATTGCCAGTCCTGCCTCAGGCAGGGAGAAGCTGGAGGTATTTTTAACTGCAGAATAAGAAGAAATTTCAAAGTCATTCGGCATGGCAGAGAAGCTATTTAAAGGCACAGAGTCCACACCAAAATGCTCCCTGGTAACACAAGCTTTATCGCTTAAGATGGATTTGGGGGTGTTTTGAGCTGTGTCTTGCATCACCTGGGAGGTGGGAGACGTCCTCGTATGCTCCCAGGACCAGGAAAGTCAGCCTGGCTGCAGTCCCGCTTCTCTTTGGCCACCGAGCTGCCTCCGCGGCCCCGGGGAGAGGGACCACGTCTGACTGATGCCTCCCCACGGCCTCGCCGCCTTTTAGGTGCCAGTTCTGCGCACACATCCACCTGCGCGGCCGACGGCGCTCTGGGAAAGGACGAGAGGGACTCTTGTTCGCGCGGGCCTGACCTAAGCCCAGGGACACCAGGAGCCACCGCTGCGTCGGGCCCTCCCAGGCGAGGTGACACAAAGCAAGAGCTGCAGCGCCCCGTGGTAGCGCCTCCCTTTACTGCAAAACAAGCCCCGAGTTAGATTTGGAACAAACTTTAAATCCAGTAGTCGGAACTGAGAAGCATTTTCAATTTTTTAACTGGGATTTCATCGCACCGTAGAAACCTTGGAAGCACTAGCAAAGAGCACGACTGGAAACGGAAAGTCTCCGCTGTAAGTTCATGCGAGTTTATATGAACAGGTAGGAGAACGTTTGAAGCGCGGCTGCAGAAGCAGAGATGATTTTCTGCAGTACAAGGCAGAAAATCTTGTGCCAGCGCTTGTGAAACATCTACAGCATTTCCTTAGTTCTAAATCCTTCCATTGTTTAGGCATGAAATACAGCATTGTGTAAGCTCACTCACAGGGATGATTTAACTCACAAGGCTCAAGAAAGATGAACACTTAAAAAACCAGATCATAATTTTTCGTGTATATTAAAAATTATTTCCAAATACCGTAGGGACGGAATTCTCCAAAGGAAGAAAATATTCAGAATAGCACAAAGCAGTACTGCCAGCTGGAAGGTGGACAAAGTTAACAACAAGAAACAGGCACTTCAAATGAAGCCACAAGAAAACTAGGTGCTTTTTCATGAAGAGGAACCCTGGCTTCCCGAGGGGACCGGCTCAGAGCGAGGACCGCTTATCAAGGAGGATATGGCTGTAATAAATCCCGGCGCTGCCCATTCTCATCTCTCCTGACCGCTGCGGCTGCTCTCCTTGTCCCCTTAGCTTTCCCCTTCACGTCTCAACATCACCCTGCTGGAATTC